ATCCGGTGAGGCGTTTGCCAGGCTGGTTGTTGATTTGTCAGAGTTAGAAGTGTTTGCCGATTTTGAAACCCCATTGTTATCGATGGCTTCAGCACAGATCAATGGGCGGCAAATGTAAGTGGCCACACATGAAAGTGAATTATTCTCTTTGAGGTAACACACACAGCATGGGCAGCTAGCACTACTATCTGAGTGGCTCAGCATGTGGTGTGGCTGGTGTGTCACTCAGTGCCATTTAGCCCATCACTTGGCTCAGTGTGTGTGAGAGTTAGTGTGTCTGACTCTCTGTCTCTCTGTCTGTCTGTCTGGTACATAGTGTGCATCCACACCTGTGGCTTGGACTGCTCCCCTTAATAAGACCTAATGAAGAACATTGATTCATCTCCATTTGATTCACACTTTTAGACAGGAACACATATACACGTACACAAACCCACGTAAGACACCCCACCACTAGTTTTGAGACCAACACTTTTGACTCCCTCTAAGGAAGAAATGTGGATCTTGTCTAATGCTACTGTAGTGTTATCAGCTCTGCATATAATACTCTACTTAACCACATGAGGAGAAGTTTTAAGGAGGGACAAAGTGACGAGAGCTGTGTCAAAGCAAAAGGGATCTGGAGATTGTTGGTGAATGGGGCAGCCATGCACGTTTTCCTAAGAAGCACGATCAGGGCAGGCATCCCAAGATTCCCTGCATCCTGGTCCCAGCTCTGGGGTGGAGGAAGCTGTTTACTCTTTCTATCTCTCACTGCTGACGTCGGCGCACCGAACAATGTCATCCAATTTCCTGTTTTTCACTTTAGTGGAAAGCCACTTTCCCAGTGTGTATGGTGTAGTGTGCGTGTGTGCGTGTGTGTGTGTGTGTGCGTGTGTGTGTGCGTGTCTATGAGTGTGAGGCAGAGAAGCTGGTGGGCTGGAGGAGAGGAGAAGGAGGAGGAGGAGATCTATAGGGCCGGATACACTGGGAGCAGGATATAGGGTCAGAGGCAACTCCGCTATGTAAATACATTAGGTGTATTGAATGAGAGTAGCAGGAGACTGCAGACTGTCCTGAATGCTGCTCAGGATGACTGTAGACACCTAGCAGCTCTGATGTGGCCAGATCAGCCTGAACAAGGAGGAAAGGTGTGATATCACATGACATTAGACTGTTTGAAGCTGTCGACCTGGTCACCTCACAGCGAGAGATTGACTTTTAAGGTTGTTTTATTAAATCTTGGCGCAAGCTTTTGATTTGGATTTCCGGGTGTTTTTGCCCCCCTTAGAGGACCCACAGACTCCAGGTTCACTGTGACAATTGGTTTGTTGTAATTAGATTTAGGGATTTAGTTGATAACTGGATATGCCGGCTCGGTATCAGTGCAGATAGTGCCATTATCGAACAGATCTGACTTTGATGTGACCAATTCACCTTTATATATACAGCTTCTTTATCAATATCATTATAAGATTCAGTGTGTCTGATATCTGCTACATTTATTTAATCACTGTGGGTTGCTGATTCAGTGTTTAGTAACACAGCATCCCTGGCATTCCTTACATAAAAATGATTCCACACAGATTGCCATACATATTTAAAATTTGGGAAAAAGAGAGCACTGGCTCTGTACTCTGTACAGCTCCCGAACAGAGTTTGATGTTGTTTTTGTTTTTCTGTGACTAATGAAAAGTGCATCGACTAAGAATCGACTAATAGTTTAGTCAAATATTAGGGGACAACCCTACAAGCTACACATACATGTACACCCAGCTGCCAGTTTATTAGGTGCAGCCAAGTAAAAGATGGAGTTTGCCATGTTGATCCGCCATGTTCCTACAATAGCCTAGAACAGACAAACCAAATGGGGTTTTGCCCAAATGCAGTAGGGTTGGGCAATGTGGTTTAAATACGGTAATTAAAATCAACAAGGATATTCAATATATCAGTATATATCATGATATGGCAAACTATACAAAACCACATATAAAAATTAGAAGCAATAACCTGTGCTCCACTCTTTTACAATCTTTTTAATTACAGTAGACCAAACTGTCCATATGTGTAAAACAAAAACTTAAATTTCTAGAACAATAACATTATAAAATTATAAAATCATATCATCATGATACTGTATGATTACACTGAAAGTCAGTTAACTGTGTAATTGATTTATCACCCAGCTTGTAACTATGAGTAAAGACAAACTGCAAGGACCAGGATGCATTGCTTTCAACTCAGACCTCTATTGTAATCTGCACTCTGCCCTACTGCTCAACAAACTTGTTGTCTGATTAACAAGTGGCCCATGTCCACACAGAGAGAGAGAGAGAGAGAGAGAGAGATCCCAGTGTGACTGGTACAACACAGCAGCATATAGCAAGCAGGCGGGACATGGATTACGTAGGGACACTCACCATGGCCGTACTCCTCGCCTGCCTGGCCTACATGCTCACTCACTTCCCCTGCTTTGTTTGCCTCTGGTTGAGTGCCAGCATGATGTTTGCGGGATGCAAATGCTTGACTGAGTGATTCATTGCAGTATGTGCGTGTGTGTACTGTACAAGAGGAGTATGTTGCCCGAAGAGGCTGGAAGACTGGTTCAGCTCTGTGTGTGTGCGCGTGTATGTGTGCGCGTGTATGTGTGAGAGTGGTGTGTGAGAGTGGCAGGCAAGCTATTCAAGTTACACAACCTCAGCTGCAGTTGCATTGGTTGTGTCAGTGTCAGTTAGAGAGGAAAGTCTCCCTGGATGGAGATGGAGCGCTGCATACTGCTCTTGATAGGCCCTCAGCTAGCTGGAGGCTCTGTGGTCCAAACTCAATACGTCAAAGACCCTGACCTCAACTGGTTCACCAACAAACAGCATCACAGTGGAAACATGATTTTTTTTTATGTGTGGTATATTTTTTTGCGGCCACCATCTGTAACATTTACCCAGCAGTGCTCTATGGAAGAGAGAATGTTTTGTTTGACCTCCATAGGAAAATGAATGGGTGGTTTGAATCTCTAATCAAAATTAATAAAGCTGAGCTGAGAGTTATTTGTTCTGACACACATGGTCAGAGTAATTGAAATCATATCTGACAACAGGAAAACTAGGTCTTGTTTGGTTAAACGCTTGGAAAAGCATGAATTTGTGGCATTTCCATATGTTAGTCCCCACTATATAGCCGCACACACACACACACACAC